TAACGTTGTCCTCCTGGGGCGCGAAGGTGACCTCGCTTCGCGCATCGTGGCCTGGCCTGGGGAGTCGTCCTTCTCCCGGGGGGGCGGCGCGATAACGCGACGATGGGTGAGATGTGCACCTCGCGCGGCGCGACGCGCGAGCTCAGGAGACCCAGGCAGGGACGAGGAGGACGCGGAAGGAAGCACTGCGCATGCTCCGTAGACATCGCAGCGAAGCCGCCTCCAGGAGGCGTCTGCGGGCATGCCGAAGTTCGTCACGCTGGACAAAGTGATAGCTGCACCGTTGCGAAAGGATAACGTCGACACCGACTGTATCATTCCGAAGCAGTTCTTGAAGACGATCAAGCGAACAGGCGCCTATCCGCTTTTCTAGTGCCCTTCTGTCTTGCACCTCCTTGAACGGCGTGTGTAGCAGTCTTGCTTGCTGCATTTTTCATCGCGTCTTTCGAATCAAATCTGATTGCATCGGTTGAAGACTCCGAGCTTGCTTCTTGTACCGCGGTTGACTTTGAGCTGCGGTGATACTCCACCTCCATGCAGATCCGTTGTGTTTGCTTGCGTTGTCACTCTTGCTTGTCACCTGCTATCATTTGCACGTGGATTCCCCAGGGCTTGGCAAAGCTGCCTTCTTCGAGCTCAGATACGAGGACGATGGGGAGACGGAGAGGCCTGACTTTGTTCTCAACAAGCCGTATTACCGGAAGAGCGAGGCTCATCGGATGATTTTGCGTCGGGCGGAACGGGGCGACAGTGTCGGTTGTTTCGCACGATTTGGCCAGATAGTGCGTGACCAGAGTGCGGGTCAGACGCGGGCGGTGGGAACCCAGCTCTCGGAGGTGTGAGAGGCGGAATCGGGAGCATGGGCAGCAGAGTAAGTTTGAAGCGGAGGATTGAGTAAATGGGTAAGCAGGATGAGGAGGAGGGACCTGGCGCAGTCGTGCGCATTGGTCATCTCCTGTTCTGTTGCATATGTTTACCGGAGTGCTGGGTGAATTCCAGGCAGAACGCCAAACAGAAGGTCCGGCTCAGGAAAAGCACCAGACAGACTTGGACAGAACACCAGGCAGACCACGCAAAGTTCCAGGTACGGAGGTCTCGGGTGGTCTGGAGGTCCACAGGTCCTTGGAGGCCTCCGCAGGTCTTCGGAGGCCTGCTGAGGCCCAAGAAGGCCAACACACATTTCAAGCCCCGATGCTTTCCCAGGAAGAACTGTTTTTTCCTCTTGGGCCCAGAACGACGGTTTGAAGTCTTGAGCAGACGCGCGTGAGATAACCGCCGTCGGATCCCATGACGTTCGCGCGGATCGAATTTTGGTCTTGGTCTGTGTTTCGGTTGGTCCGATTTTCGTCCGCGCGGATCCGATTTCAGTTTTTTTTGGATCCGCGTCTGGTCCTTTTTTCCACGGCGGATCCGCGGACCCCGGAACCCGACCGTGTTAATATTCTACGGGGGAGGGTGGTTCGGTCAACAATTTCCCAGGATAGGTCCTGCGCTGTCTCGCGCACTCCCATCAACTTTCCGCGCGCGCGGGCCCCACTCAACATGGATGCATCTCTCTCCTCGCAGTTGCTACACGCAGCTCGTCCAGACGCCGTCCGTTCGGCGGCTCCGATGTCATCTCGCGAACTCATCATCGCCATTTTCACCTTAAGAGGAACATCCTTCGTCCTGCGTAAGCAACCGTCCGCCAAACGCATCTCAAGCCTCGATGCTCCTCCTCGACCGTCCTGCCGCTTGCGTTGATCGCAGCGGGCGCATTCCCACGGCGACCTTCTACGCGTTGCACCCGCTCGGCGCGCAGCAGGTGGTGGCGCGAGGGTGGGGGAGGGGGAGGCCTTTGAGAAGGCAGGGTGTGGGGCTTCCCAGAGGCCTCCCCGTAGAAGAGGAGACCACACGTCGTCCCAGACCTCTCCTGGGGTTGCCATTCCGGCCGGGCTTTTCAGGCGGATCGACCCTGCCGTGGCCATGAGGCTCCCCCCCCCCGCGGCCCAACAGGCCCAACTCCGGTCCAAAACCTCAAACCTCGATCCGCGAACCTCGATCCGTGAATGGTCGTCAAGGCCGTACGGACGCGCACACACAGCGTCTTGGCACTTCCACCCTGGCGTTGCTTCTTTCCTTGACCGATTTCATCCTCCCCCTCCTCCTCCTCCTTCTCCTCCTCCTCCTCCTTGGGCCTTCGACTTTCCTGGACACATTCGTGTCGGTGGCCCCCCTTGGGCGTTCCATTTTCAGTCCAGCGTTTTTGGCAACCGCTTCCTAGAAGCGAGCTGGTCGTGGGAAGGAACTCATCGCGGGATCCCTCCACGATGCCCCCCTCGCCCCACTCCCCTTGGCAAGCCGCCGGCTTACGCGTCGCGTGCGGCTCCCGCATCCCTGCTGGAGCACGCGACTGCCACAGGGCGAGGGGTCTCTCCCTATAGCAGACAAGGATATTGAGGAGGAGCGGGGAGGATGGAGGGAGGGAGGAAGAGGGTGCAGGAGGAGGGGGGAGGAGGAG